AGCTAATTATTATAAGATAAGATTAATCTTAACTTATTATACATATATGAAATTATAACATTAAGGTTCAATTATTGTATTTAATATAAGATAATTTTATAACTAAAGTAACAAAGTGTAAAAGTAAACTTAAGAAATAAAATAACATTTATGTATATAAATCAGTAATGCCCACCAATAATTGATATATAAATTTAAGTAAACATAACTACCTACATTGAGATTTAAAATACTTTGACCAAATTACAATTACTACTCTTAAGTACCAATATAATATTTATGGTTGGGCATATTTAGATATCTTTTAGTGTCCATTATCACGATGCTCCTTTCTTGCTTCTTTAGTCGGGAAACCACGTCCACAAAGATCACATTTGTATTTAATCTGTGCTGCGTGTCTTCTCTTTTGGTGACGCATAAGTTCCTTCCAAGTTCTACAATCGCGATCGCAAAGATGGCAAAGGGAATCATAGTCTCTGCGACTAATATTCTCAACAGCTTTAGAAGACATTTTGAAAAGATATGAGATGAATAAAAGTTTTCCAATTAGCTCTTATCAAGGAAGAGTGTTTATATAGTAAAATAAATGTCATTTTGCATGAAGTGAAAGTTGATTCACATAAAATGAATGACTGCCATTTGAATTAGTAAGAAAAGGATATGAGTTGGATAGTGTTACAAATAACTACTCTCTAGAATGTTATTAGAATCATATAAATTTTGTGATTTTTATTTTTTAAAAAAAGTTTTTATAAGAATCATGTAAGTTTTCTGACTTCTAATTTCTTCTATAGATTTCAATGATTTGACAATTAATATAATAAATAATGAATATCTATATTATACCTAATATGATATTAAATATATAATTAACAAATAATAATACTAACAGCTTGTTATCAAAATCTCTTTTTTTTTTCAAACAATTTTGTTTATTTATTATTTTACTTTAGGATTAGAAATTCTAATTAGAAATTAGAAAATTCTATTATCTATTGCTATTAAATCCTATTATTATTCTATTTTATTTTTATTAAATTAAATTCTATTAAATCCATTTAATTAAATTACCTTACCATTTAAATTATTAATTTCTATTCAATTTTAATATTAAATAATTCTTAAAATTGAATTGTAATTGTTAATTGTTAATATTGTTTGTTTTTGTTGGCCCCATCGGTCAAAGTCCAATAAAACGGATCATTTCTCTCTCCCTGAAGAACCAATCAAAGAATTTCATTATATCCTTTCTAAAATCAGCTTGGAACCATCTGATATAATCTGTCCCATTCAATGTCTTGGAACCATGGATGTGCCTGATACGATGAAACTCAAAGAGTTGGCTATATGATAATAAAACATAAATCATCTCCTTAGTGATAAAAACGTGAAAGCATCAATCAAGTATGCTGACCTTTATTTCATGCGCTCCTTTGGTCCCAAGCCTCCGCCCAACATTGCAAAGGAGTTCGCGAATGAGATCTTTAGCTTCAGCAGATAGCTTGGCTTCTGCAGGGAATTTCAAATGGGTTCTCCAGTTTACAATCTGCATTAATGATTTGACCCTTTCTAAATACATAAATCTATATATGTAAAGATCAAAACACTAGTTTTGAAACTGTTGAGACTGGTTGACAAACAATAATAAGAAGCAGAAGATGAAAATGATACAGTTAGTTCAATCAGCTCCCCTTTTAAATTTGCGCACAGATTCATTGTGCTTTTATGTGCAGCGATATCTCCAAAACCAATCAACTCT